CTCCAGCCTCTAAGTAGAAAGAATCAAGAGTTTTCAAGCAGACTATTGCAGAAGCCTGTCAGCGCTCTCCAAAATAATGAGGACTGGCAGGAAGACGTTCCTCTGCTAGGAACCTGGAAATGGACCAATATTTTTAACATGTAGGGCAGAAGCTTAACATATCCAAGGAACTATGGGCAAGGGCAAGGTGCTGGCTAGCCAAAATACAAACTAAAAACAGCCAATAAATACACACACACGAATTCATCATAGCTAATAAGCAAAGAAATGGAAATTTAAAATCTAGTTGTCATTTTTTCACCAAATTAACAAGGAAAATGGTAACTTGATTAGGATTCTTCTAAGTTGATGTTGACGAGGGAAGTGGGCACTTTCAGACACTGCTAGTAGGAATGTCGATGACACTGCTACATGCCAGAGGCTGCATCCAGAACATTCTGCATGGGTACATACCTTCTGCGGTGCACTTATCCTATGTTACTAATCGCTGGGTGTGCGCATGGATGCACATCACAGTACTGAAGACTAGAGGATGCAGGTCACCTCCACTGCAGGGAAATAACTTGGTCACGGTACAGCGCCACCACGGACAGTGAATGGTTGTGAAAGTAACGCAGACTCTGTGCTCTCTATGAACATTTAAAGGCACATACCCTAGCAGAAAATTTGATATAATTTAAATGACCATCAATAGGGCACTGCTTAAATTAAAGTGCACCCACACAACAGACGACTCAGTCATTGAAAACATTAAGTCCACGTGGAAGAAAACGGACTAACCCAAAAGACTCACTGAGTGAATAAGGCAAGTGCAAAACAGTGTGGAGAGGGAAAAATGAGAAAGATGTGAATAGAGACACACGAACACACACACTGAGACGGCTAAGAAACCGGTGACCACTGCCCCAGGAGAGCACGACCGGGCAGCAGGGGAACACGGCCAGGAGGGAAGGACGTGTCCCACACTCAGGACCTTGGCACATCCCACCTCGTGCTTCTCTGTCCTGTCTGTGGTTTTCAGACTTCCTGCCGTGAAGCACATTACTTCTATAATCAGATTAAAACACTACTTAAATTGTCAGGGGGACAAAAGCAGGCGCATCACAGGATACATCGTACATTTTATAACAAAGAGGAGAAAGTAAGAACTCCTACACAGATGGCTCAGTTTTGTAAAGTGAAACACTGGCGAGAGGATCCAGAAACAAACCTGATGTAAGTTCCTGCATGGATGGGCACGGTGGGTGCAAGCAAGGGTCAACGTCACGGTATCTCTTCATAGTGTTAACTACTGAACTCAGACGACCTTTCACTAAATATTTGAAAAACAAAGGAAAATGGAAAAAGGGGAAGACACCATCCAACTGGAAACAAACAGAACCAATGAGCCTGCAGTGTGGCAAAGGGGAGGGAGATGCCACGCAGAAAATAATTATACTCTGACTGCACGAGTGCACTCTGACCCCGTGACCCCAGAGGGATAGAGTCTAAGAGAGAAAAGAAATGCAAGCCCGAAACAGGCAAATCCACAGAGACAGACATTGGACGAGGTCGCCAGCGGCTGGAGGCGGGGAATGAGAAGTGACTGCCAACGGATGATGATGAAAATGTTGTTTAATTGGATGGTGGTGATGGTCGCACAACTCTGAATGTACTATTGATAATATTCACTGAATGATACAATTTAAATGGTGAATTCTTTGGTATGTGAATTATATCTCAATAAACCTATTATTAAAGAATTGCAAGGAAATCTTAAACTTTACTCAATAGTTTTACTGTTAATAGGAATGTTTGTATTAAATTTTTAAACTTATTTTGTCTATTTTAAGATAAAACAAATTTGATATGCTGTTATAAGGAAATAAGATTTTTATTAAAAGAGGGGAAAAGAGGTAAAACAAAAAAAGCCCTGTAATATTACATTTTATCCGGATATGTCAAAATGAATTCAAACTGTCTACTCCATATGTATAGGCCTATTTCCTCCCCCAGCTCTGTCCCCTGAAGAAGACTAGAATCGATGTCACTCCAGCAGCAATAAACATACTGAGTGCCCAGATGTTGGTGTCAAAATTCCATTTCCCCACAAAGGCAGGAGGTTCCTTGGAGAAATGGCACGTCTAGGGCAGGATGCAACAGGTAAACAGGGCCAAAAGCCAGGACATATGGGAGACACATTCCCAGGATGCAGGAGCCCTCTCTGGCCAAATGTGGGACAATTTCAGCATAAAAAGAGTAAAACTGAATTGATAATACATGAAGTAAATGTATTTACTTGATAATACATATCTGTAGTGATACTGAAAAAAAAGAGACAGAGAAAGGAAGACAAAAACCTTTTCTTTAAAGAAGAATCCCAACAAATAAAGGTAAAAGAAGTTAACAGAATGAGACAACCATGACTTTGCAAGAACCACTGAAATGCACCAAGAAGGGGAAGAGCACTGGAGGATGCTAAAGCCACAGCGTGGAAGGCATCAGGGAACAACAGAACCACACAGCGCATCGCCTCACACGTTCTTGATATTCACAAAAGAGAAATAAACAGAGCGAGCTGGTGGCCATCCCTTAGCCAAGCGGTCAAACTTAACATCACTAACAGTCAGACGGCCCGGCCCTGGCCCCCACAGGGATGCAGTGTAAGGTCCACAGCACCACCAAGGAAGTGTTCCCGCCAAAAAGGTTTAACCTGAATCGAGTCAAGCCCTGAGACCTCACTTCCAGTGAGAGGAAATACAGAAACAGAAGAACAAGTTGAATGACACCACAAAGAAACCAACAAATCCAAAATGTGGGATGTTCAACAAAACATCCCTGGTCTCTTCAAAAAGTCAACGCCATAGGGAAATAAAAGTACAAAGACTGTTGTAGCTTAGAAGCCTAAAAAGAACAGTGGAATATTATTCAGCTTTAAAAAAGAAGGCAGTTCTGGGCCGGCCCCGTGGCTTATCGGCTAAGTGCGCAAGCTCCGATGCTGGTGGCCCGGGTTCGGATCCTGGGTGCGCACCGACGCACTGCTTCTCGGGCCATGCTGAGGCCACGTCCTACATACAGCAACAAGAAGGATGTGCAACTATGACATACAACTATCTACTGGGGCTTGGGGGGGCAGGAAGGAGGAGGATTGGCAATAGATGTTAGCTCAGAGCCCGTCTTTCTCAGCAAAAAGAGGAGGATTGGCATGGATGTTAGCTCAGGGCTGATCCTCCTCACAAAAAAAAAAAAAAAAAAGAAGGCAATTCTGACATACGCTACAACACGGATAAGCCTTGAGGACATCATGCTGAGTGAAATAAGCCAGTCACAAAGGGACAAACACTGCATGATTCCACTGATAGGCAGGACCTAGAGTCGTCACATTCATGGAGACAGAAAGTAAAAGGGTCTGTGCCACTGTACACGTAAAAGTGGTTAAAACAGTAAATGTTACGTGTTTTCTACCACTGTTGGAAAAAAAAAGCCTAAGAAGACACAACATACAAATGCAACACATGAACCTTGATTGGATTCTGGTTAAAAAGAAAAAGAAAAAGCTATGAAAGACATATTGGGACAAATGGAGAAATTGGAATTGAACTAGACAATTGATCATATTAAGAAATTACTGCTAACTTTTTACGTGTTCAGGTTACACAGGAAAGCATCCTTATTTTTTTTTTTTTGGTGAGGAAGATCAGCCCTGAGCTAACATCCGTGCTAATCCTCCTCTTTTTGCTGAGGAAGACTGGC